TTTTTTTTTTTTACAAAAAGAAAGTGGTGGAAAACTCTAAAAGATTCTTCTGGCCAGAGACATGAAGGGAGGAAATTGCATTGATTTAAGCTCGGCTTCTTTTGGCATATGTCCTCCTTCTTCGTTTTTCTTTCCTGAAGTGAGGGCGTTTGTTCCACAGCCGCCAGTTTAGATACAGTCATCTAAGATGTTTGTCTTTGTCTTTCATTATATCCATCATAGGCTGATGAGTGGAAGTGAGTGGCAGCATCTCGATGATCTCTAAAATAAACTAATAAACTTCAATTACAATGAGCTTTTTTGTGGAGAAGCCAGTGCAGACTTACAAACTGCTGCTTTCATTCATAAAATGAAACATTCAGGGGGGTGTCTCTCCTCCCTTTCTAGTCAACTGAATATGTGATCAGAGCCTCTTTCAAGCATTTACTTTATGTTCTACAAATGTCCAATATATTTTTTAACCATTTCATTTATCATGAGTCACCTAATACAAATAACACTTACAGTAAATGATAACTCATGTCAATTATTTTTTATTTTTAACATAGTTCTAAAGTTCTTATTACTTATTTTTTATTTGACTAAATTAATGTTTTTGTCTTGTCTTTGTCGATAAAAACCATGAACATTTTAGTATGGTTTATGCCTATATAGATAAGTTTTAGTCTAGATTTTGTAAAAACCAAGTATGAGCATTTTAGTTAAACTTAGCAGACTGAATTCATCCAGTTTTTAATCTAAAAGCACTGGGACTGAAAATTATCAGGTTGTGGTAGAGTTCCAAAGAGTCGAGTTTAATAGTAGAGTTTAATTAATCAAAACTAGCTACAGTAAATGCTAGACATCTAGCTATTAGACGTATACTGCTACCCAGTAGAATTTTCTTAAAGTCCTAAGCCAAACTTTCACAGAAAATGTTGTTTATTCTGATAACACACATTTTACAACTGGACTACATTTAGCTGGCACAGAGCTATTCAAAATTTCTGACTTTCAAATATGTATTGCAATGATATTGTGATGTGCAAAGACGATTCAGGTGAGAAATGCTGGCAGTTGCGTGTTGCCCCCCTCCCATTCAAACAGATTTCCACCTGTCCTGGATCCAGCCAGGCCAATCACAACCATTTATCTAATATGAGATGGGTCTGATACATTGAGTGAGAGAAATATTCGTAAACAACCAAGATGACTTCTAACGTGGAACTGTTGAATCCGCTGTCACGTCAGCATTATAAGATATTAGTGGCCGCTGCTCTTTTCATGACGTTTACTTAAGATATGTATTTGTTGTTATTATCTCAGCATGTTCATCCCAAACCATTTGTTATTGTCTTTATCTCATGTATTGTAACCCCATAACCCATTTTTTTAAGTTTATGTATTTGGATTTTTTTTACTCGTATATATATATGTATATGATTTTATTATCATTGTTGTATATATGTTATAAACTTGTTGTTTTCCTCCTGTTTTTCTCCATATCTTCACAGCTTTGGAATGCTCTGTAGGACAACAGTTCCACAATTCCCTGCTACAGCAAAGGGCTTCAGTTTAGTACGATTGATGGCCGCTTCCCCGCTGAGTTCACATAGCATCAGCCTGTTTCCCCACAGTCTCTAAGGTAATCGCCTAATTCCCTGGTGGTGTTCAATTGCCATAACCCAAGAGACGCCCCACAGGGCTTGTTTCACTACAACCAGCATATTCCACTATTAATCATAGCCGCACATTGAGGCATTATCTCTTTTTGTGTCTGCACCACATGCAGGTTATGTAATGGCAACAACTGTGAAAGCCATTGTACAGGAAGCTTTAAAGAGGTCATGATATGCTCATTTTCAGGTTCGTAATTTTATTTAGGGATTCTGCCAGAATAGGTTTACACGCATCAACAGAATGTTAAGAAGTAGTAGTCCTGACATTATGTCAAAGACTGTATTGTGTTGCAGAGATATCTACTGAAGTCAGCATGCTAACCAGCTAGCCCCGGTCTGTCCAGTCTATGATAATGCCACTTTGTACCTCAGAGGCGATAAATTATTTAGCACAGGCCCCCGTAGTTTCAGTTGGGAGATGTGTGCAAGTGGCGAGTTTGCGACATTACACAAGCTGTCTTAGCTTTTTTGAGTCAATAAATAAACAAAATAATCTCACAAAATGTCAAGAAACTAAATTTTCTGACAATTATTTTCCAACAACTGTACACCTTCTGAATTCAAGCTTCTCTCTTTCACCGAACTATTTACGTTGCGATGCCCGAGCTCCCTCCTTCTCCTTTCCTGCTTGATGCCTCTCCAGAGACCTGGTCAGAGCCACTGGAAATCACCTCATACTGTATTCCTTGTTGTCAAATTGGCCTCCATCTGTCTCGGAGGCTGTGTTCGATCCCGGTTCAACCATGTTCACTGGGCTGCTGATCCCGGTTCCGGTTCAGTCAGCTACTTAGGGCAGCTAAGTTAGCTGCATGTGTAGTAGGTTGGAAATGCTACATGTTTAGTTTTATGTAAACAGACACCCCCCATTTTTTTGTTATAATTGATCTATCCTAATACACTAAGTCACAACATAAAGGTAATGCACTTACTCGTCTGTAGATGGTGCTCTGGTACCGCTGTGGATCAAGTACGGAGGCTGCAGCTACAAGCTCCGCTCATGCGCAGCTCAGGAATAAACGAGCTCTGGCTTGAGCAAGACGCTAACTTTGGCCATCTCTCTGTTAATCCACAGTGGCACACAGTGCTCCCTAGCCTGTGTAACCTTTGCTGCCGGTCCAAATTACCGCTAGGTCTGGCGCCGGTAACACATGGCTAACAAGCTAACAACAGTTAGCAACAGTTATGACCTGATTTGTGATATGGTGCCCCCTACTTTAAATGATGATTTGACAGGGAGAGAGTAGTCTCAATCCTGGGTGAAAATGATATCTTCTAACATATTGGAACAGTTAGGCCGGCCTTGATCCCCATTACCTCTTGACACTCACTCATGTCACCTCACAGCCTTCAAGAGATGCCTTGCTTGAGGAGCCAAAGACATGCTGCATGTGCTGTGCCCTGGAATGGTTGGTTGGCTCTATATAAGACATTATGCCATTCTTTGATGGCCCTAACAAATTCCCTCCAGTTTGCAATGGTATGATAGAGAGAAATGGCTGTATCGCAAAAGCTGCAGCCTCAGTTGTCAGAAGCTAGGAGCAAAGGAAAGGCCATCCTACCCCTCTCACCTCTGCTCATCCCCCCTTTTTTGCTTCCACATAAGCAAACAAGTTCTTGCTACAGCCTAAATATGTCATTAAAGCATAGAAATTGAGGAGCAAGGAAAGGCACAGAGATGTTGCTACATGGTTCTCAGTGTGGGAGATCATACAGGGGCTGTAAGACTGTTTTAGGTCCTTCCAAGCTGTCGTTTTGAGGCATAAATGAAAGCAAAACAACAGTGTAGGAGCCAGCCGAGCCAGTGGAGGCTCAAGGACTTCGTACTTTGAGTCTTGGTTTCATATCAAGCCAACACAACTTCCCAGCCTAACTCCTCCAGCTGTGTACCTGCCTTCCAGCCATCCATTTTCTCTCAAGATCCAACCTACTTCCCTGCATGTCACACTGCTCAGAGCTGTGCTCAGACTCTTTCCGAATCATTTTGGTTGGATCTTTCCCTGTCTCTCATTCCTGCTATATTTTGTCTGTATTTGATTGACACATTTCCCATCACCAAAAAACAAACAACTGCCCCCTTTAACTCTGTTTGCCTCCTTCTCTCAGTTCATTTTCTGAATATTTCCTGCTATTTTCCTCTCTCTCTTCCTTTCTGTCTGCCTCCTCTGCTCCACTTATGCATCCCAGCAGTCTAGATTTCCTTTCCTCAGGTTATAATAGTTAGACTGTGAAATCACCCAGGCCCCACACCCCTCCCTACATCCCTGTGTCCTTCTTTCCCCTTCCACTCCCTAACATCGTTCTTCCCTCCTCTGATTCCATCCCTCCTCTTACTACTTACAGCCAATCTTTAATATTTATGGCCTCAAAGCTTGAGAAGTGGGTGGGGGCACAGGGCTTTACCTCGGTTATGATTACTTGCGTGCTGTCAGGAACCAGGAACCAGGGAAGGTGAGGGTTACACTGTAAGGCTGAGGCTGTGAAGCTGCAGCCCTGCAGAGCAAAGCAGAGGCTACCCAGTCTCCCCTGAGCCCCCATACTGAAGTGATTAGGCCACAGGAAGCTGAACCTGACATTGCTGACACTAGGCCCCCCTCCCACATCCTGCCTCAACATCCCCCCACACCACAAGACACCATCTCCCTACTCTGACACTCGATTCACCGTGGCAACTACAAGGCTGATTTACATCTTCTGATATGGTTGCAGAGGATGGAAGAGCAGAGGATGCAGCAGTACACTCAAGAGAAAAGAAACCTGAGATCGGGTGGGGGAGGGATGCTTGTGGCGACTGCTTCCTTTATTGTTTCCCTGTCTCATGGTGTGGTGGCAGATGTAAACAGGAACAAGCAATGCAGCTGCCAATTTCAAGCCCATTAACTGTAAGTGGGATAACCAGTGCAGGTGCTTTATTTTGGCCACTGGGATCACATGGATCAAGAGACTTGTGACAGTATATTGTATTTTTTATGTGAAAAGAGGATTCATATGTGGCTCACATGTTCCATTATCCTACATTTAGTTCCTTATATATCTAAAGAAAATAAAAGAGGAATTAAATTATTTAAGTTGCTAGTTGCCCCCTTCCCAAATAAAGACAAAACATGCACACATTTATAAATTGCATGGCAGTTTGAATAGACAATATAGTGATTAAAGATAACCTTCATGAAAGAGCACTACTGCCCTCTTGTGTTTTGGGGTGGAAAGGGCATAATTGTGAACATGGAAATTGCACTGGATTTAATCTTGACTTTGAAGAAACTTTACCTGACGAGTAGGATAACGATGCGGATTTCACTTACTCACTCACTTACAAAAATAAATCATATCACCGAAGTTTTTTATTCTTTCTTTATTAGAGCTATAAATCAAACAGCAGTTGACTAAAAGGTTTATGCAGTACATTGGGCTTAACCTATTTACACATAAGAGCAAAATATAGTTTGCATTCTGCATTACATATAAATAACATCTTACAATTACAATTGAAACTGTCTATGCCTTGATCATTTAAAGTGAATATTACACTTATTTTACTACATTCGGGTTGAATTAGGCACATTTAGGCATAGAAATATTCATGTTTCTTCCATGGGCACTCATCAAATCTAAATCTGTGTCCAACCAAAATTTCCAGAGAAGATTTGCCGCTCATTTTAGCTGTTATTTGTTCTCTCTCTTCATTTCTCACACTGTCTTTCACCAATCAAAATGTGTCTCTTTTTTAAGTAGTGATTGCTCTCTGTTTGACTCCCATCTCCAGTGAAGTGTTTCATTTCACTAATGCAGAAGTGAAACTAACTCCATTTAAAAGGGAGTCACACTGAATACTCTGGGGGCCGTGGGAATAATCAAAACACTGCAAGAGCCAGAGAGGAATACAAACTCCGGTTAAGAACAAAGGAAATGGAAATCAATGGCGGGATATGCAGATTTCTTTTGACAGCTCGACACGCAAATAATCTTTTGGGAATTTGCCCTCTGTTGCCTTTGCTGGGTTAAAATAACAACTGAGCAGGGGAATATAAAATGCAGTATGACGAAGAAAGGGCACAGCATTACACCTACTTATTTTTGTGTGAAGGTGTTCCAAAACAATCAATAAAGAATGTACTGCACTGCAAGCAAGGCTGGATCGCCCAAGGCATGGTCATAACTATAAGTGCATGGCTACCAACCTTAGGAATTAATTTCAAGCTAAACACTGTATTATTTAAAAGCTGCAATTTATGTTTTATGCACAGTTGTATTTGTCAGTTTGTCGACACTTGAGAAGCTTTAGGAAAGTCTCCATCTTATGGGCATCTTTCTTGAAGCAACTGAGTAAGGCGTAGTCCCTCATAACAGATTCCAACATCTCTGGCTGCACATCATACTGGAAGACGCCTTGCTCACTGTAGCTTGTTGTCATCATTCCCTCATCCAACATCTGCACAGCAACCATTTGGAAACATGGCATAAATAAAACATAAGAATAAAATGTGTGTATTGTCTACCATGGGTTTTAAAGTGAAAGAAGTAAAATTCTAGTATCTAATAATTATTTTGATTGGGACAATAATTACACTGGAACTCAAAATATTTTTGCAACATGTAATTGTCCTAATTCACATCTGTGTTTAGGTGTATAACAATAATCCACAAATGTGTTTTAACCCACCTTCTTGATGAGGACCACCACCCCTTGCTCCAGACTGATCAGTTTTTCAGAGACCCACTTGGTCTTGTTGAGCAGCATGTCAGGAGCATCATCGTAGCGATCCAATGTGGTCTGAAGGTAGACCAATGGCTCGATCCATGACTGGACCAGCATCAGCACAGAGTGGAGCAACCATTTGTCCTGCAGGGTACACAGGCGGAGAGTTGAGTGTTGAGAATAAGTGAATTTAAACACAAAAACCCCAAAACATAACAACTGAACCTCGAACAAAAGCTGAACCTTGAATATAAATACAATACAAAAAAACACACAACAAAACATTAGAAAGATAAAGTAGAACTGACATCACTTTATTCAAGTCTTTGTGGGGAGAATTTCTATAAGATAGTAATAAAAAACAGAAGTGATAAAAAAAACATAAGAACATAATAACAGCATGGCTTTTGATCAAAGGCTCTTCAGCTACAAAACATTCAGCAACAAAGTAGGTTGAAACGTCACTGGTGAAGCACTTGAGCCTGCTTAAATTCTCCTAAGCAGAGCACACTCTAAAGCAAGTGCAAATGTCCACCATACAAATAGCCATTAAACAGCAGAGCAGGCAATATTTCAACAGAAAGGGCAGAGGAAAATGATTAACATAAAGAATAGCCTTGCAGTATATGCAGTTTCAAAGATCACATTTACTATTATGGTGATGGCATGACTTTCAACCAGCAGTCTCAATATAGCTAAAAAGTTAGTCCTTAAAGAAATTGCTTTTGCCACATATACTTGGTCTTTGTTAGTTGAAGGAGGATTAATGAACAACTTTCCATTAACCAGATAACCGCTCACATCAGCCAAATCACCCTACATTGGCCTTTTGCCAACTGGCTTAATCTTGTCTCTACCCTAGTGATCAGGCTGACCTTTGGCCTTAAAGGTTGGGTACTAAAACATCAAAAGGCACAGATGAACATTTTTCTTCAAAATGTTACACAGAAAAGTGTATTTATGAGATCTAACAAGCATTATAAGGAGGAGAGGTTCACTTGCACACTTAGTTATTATTTAAAAAAAAAGAAAGCTTAGGTTCTTAATACCAAAGCGGCTTCAAAGTGATGTGTGAGCAGACCACCACACACACACACACACACACACACGCACATAAACATACACACACACCTATACATGCAAATGGACATGCACAAGAGCTACTAACTCCACTCAGATGCACAGACAGACACAACACACATATGCATTGACATATAAAAGCAGAGGTGTACACACATATTCTTAAAGCGCTAACGGTCGGTAACAATTGAACATACAATGCAAAACCTTCCGTGTCTCTTTCTGCTGCTTGTATCACTCCACTTAGCCCCTCCCACCAAACTCACAGAAGGGAGCTGGTTGGCCCGCGTAACATCATCCCACGTATACCACGCCCTGCCCCTCTCGCTTCGCAACCCGGGGGCGGGGTGCCCCAGGCTTCTGATGTAGTTGCGACAATGTCTAACAGTGGGATGAGATGCTAGTACACCTCTGTACCCCTTCTAAAGTCCCCCGCTGTTTATAATGCCGCTTTGCCACTCGTGAGCGCCATGACATCGAACATAATAGGCCTGAAGCTACGTGTGGAGCAAAGGTAATGGTTCTCCATGAGGTTGTACTACTGCAGGTTCCTGACTGAACGGGAGAACTTGGTACAGGAGGCGGACGTGCTAGCAAGGAGGCTAAAACCCACGTGCACTAGTGTCAGTCCCCAGTGCGTCTCTTAAGGTGTCAGGGAGTGGGGTTTACTCATTGCACAGCCGTCTGGCTTCTGTTACACAAGGATGTGTTCGTGGTTTGCACCTAATGCTGTTTTTGGCAAAGGAGGGATGGGCAGTTCTTTCATTGCTGATGATTGTTTCTCAGCCATTGTGTTTCCAAAACTCCTGAAGCTGCATGCTGCGTGAAGACATTGATCTTGACTGAGTGAAAGTATGTGCGAGGACACGGCCTGTGCAGCATGTGCACGAGCACTGACTGACACTGTGTTAGAGATTCCTTCTGGCTCTGATTGTTTTGGGATTTGTTGACTTGGGTGTGGTGAATTCTTAAAAATGGCATCAGGAGAACTAGTAGAACCTGATTTTTGTACAGATTATCTGTCTCATGTAGTCAAGATAGTAACAGTTACAGTTTTACCAAATTTGCGAAAAGGTTATTATTTTAAAAGTTACCTACTGAACCTTTAACAGATTAAGACCAAAGCTGAAAAAGGAAATAAATTCAGTGATCAGTGGCCATGTACTTACAGATATCTGTTGGATTTCACTTTTGGAGCTCGGGAGGGGTAAGGCTTTGGTGATGCATGTATAGCCAGCTTGGTTACTCTGGAGCTGTAATGGAAATGGGACAAACATCGCCTCCTAAAATCCAAATACAAACATGGGGAAAAAAGAAAAAAAAAAACATATGAAAACACACATACACAACAAAACCTGTGATGATGATTCTGATTTTTCAATTTTAGTTCAGTTTACTCTTCAAATTCAAAACTGAAGGCCATGAGCAGCAGCATTCCAGTCTTTGTTTGTTTTTGGAATTATGTTGGTTTTAGGAAATATGTTAAAATGGTAACACTTTAGTCATAACCTTAAAAAATAGCTTCTTAAAGATATAGGCGAGCGACACTTTTGTGGATGTCTCGAACTGTTTTGAAAACCTTTGGTTCTCATAGGTATAGAATAACAAGACACATTGGTAGACACAGAAAAAGACACATCAGGAAAACAACGACAAAAGCTTCACCAATCTTGGCCACTGGAGACACAGCAGAGACACATTTTGTTCTCCAGCATGTTCTCATACCCCATGCAGCGTTTTCTCAGTACATCATCCAATTTCAAAGACCACTTTGGATTGCGAGCCGTAGAGGGAAAGGGATTCAACAGGCTGCAAAACCTGTGCTCTCACTGCTGCAGTATATCATTATCACATTCATATTACTCCAGTGTAGGCCTGCTTCAATAAAACATATTTGGCTCAGAAGAGAGATTACTTTGAAGCCTGGCAGTGAGGCAATGATCATGTCAGTATCAAAAGCAAATAACACAGTATCTAACGGAAAGTGTCAGTGCTTTTGGTCCAGCATATTGTGAAAAAGAATTTGTTCTCACTGTAGAACTCATTTTTGCTAGATTGAGTGCTATATTCTCATATTAAAAAATAACATAGCTTGGGAAATATCGGGCTCACTGTTAAGACTGTAACTGATGAGCAATGTCTTTATGATCATTTCAGTTGAATCCTCCCTTTCTTGGCGCAATGAAAATCATTTTCTGTGCTATTGTCATGTGATGGTTTAGTTTCTTCTGAGGCTATACACATGTGAAATCTATGTCTTTACTGTACACTGTAAGTGCCTGTGGAGACAACGGGCCGTCCGAACACTTAAAATATTTCTTTCCCAATACAGTGCAAAGGTTCATTTTGGAGTAATGTTACTCACAAACAAAGAGCATGATTCTTCTGAGACACGGTAGATGAGCTCAGCATGCTGGATGACTCGGTCAAGAAGTTTCTCTTGGGAGATGGAGGGGCAGCGGGAGAGGCTACCCTGGTCTTCCCTACAGTCTTGTGGGATGCTTGCAGTGAGCAGATAGGGGCAGAGCAATCCAGCCCATACACCCAGCTGTGTGACTGTAGACAATATAGATGTAACAAATATTCACAAGTAAATACGCAAACAAAAATATCCAAAAACCTGTTCATCCTATATCTTGTTTGCTGTGGTACTGCCGGATTTACTTTCTTTAGGATTATATAAATCAAAATCACTGCTCAGCTAAATAAACTGGTGTAATTTATATCTGTCAGTAAAATTACAAAACATGCTGTCTTTCTGTCTTGAAGTTTGATGCATTACCTGTCATCATGTGCATTCTGTCAAGTAGTCTTCAAGTCTTCGTAGCTTTTCTGGCATGCTGACTTCTTTTATAAAACCTGACCGGGCCATGAATAGTGGAAAAGGTCTTGCGTAGGTTCTTGTAAAAAGATACTGGTCTTGCCAAAGCAACACATTTGTTTTCTCATGCATAATACCATTATGTTTATTTTATTTAAGAAGGGACAAAGCACATTAATTAACATGAGCACTTGAGACCATCATCTGCCGTCCCTATAAATGGTAAGGTCTAAGGCCTAAACATCTTTGTTCCTTATATGAGCTTACCTTGATTTCAAAATAAACTGAAATAAAGGTTTTGTAATTTTTATTCTACCCAGCATCCTGATAGCATTGGCTAATAATCCAAAAATAAAGACTGAGACCGATTAGATTTATCAAACAAAATCAAAAAAGGGAATGGACTGAAAAATCCCTCCTTTCAGCTGAGGTAAGTATGTAATGTAGATTTAAATATGCATGACAGAGAAGGCTGCAGAAAAGACAGCGTAGGACTGTAACAGACACAACTAAAAGGGGCTGAATGAATGAGAGTCAGAAATCAGCGGGACTTAACAAAACCCCTAAAATCTTCTTTTTTATGTTGACATTCATATTCAATTTTGCTCAGAAAACCATGGGGGTGCGAAAGTAGTTCTACCCAGAAGCTGTGGTTTCCCTATTGTAATGACTGTGTTTAGCTGTCAAAGAAGTAAGCACATATTTAGTAATCTATGCCTGCTTGAACACACTCCATTAAATGCTTAATTTTTTTCCGCTGCACTACTTATTTTATCTGTCCTTTCAATCACTTCTGTAAAAAGTGTAATAAATTACTGGGAATGAATTGTCTGTCAATTTATGGTATATATATATATATATATATAGTATGTACTATAAATTACAGAACATTTTTGCCTCACACATACTCTAGAATAAGATTGTTAATTACTGTTCAGTATAAGCCACAATCACATAATCACACAATTAGTATAAATAAAAATAGTAAAGGCTGTCTTTTTTACATGGACCAAACCCTGACGGGAGGGATCGTATTCAAGACGCTTGAACTCAAATGTTTATTTCTTCAGTGAAGCATGTTTAAGGATCAGCTAAAGACAGACAGGGGATCAGAGAGTAGCAGGTGATGGGTGTCGTGTTCCTGAACACAACGTGACAAACGAGATGGTTCCTATTCATCCTCGAGGCACATGAAGCCTCATGTCACGTATTTCAACCTGTTTCATATGAAACACTATTCTCTTCTTATCCCCTTTCTTTTTCTCCTCCACTTTTTCCTTCTCCACCTCCTTGACGGGTTAGCAGATTTTCAAGAATGTAAGCACACCTCTCCAAAAAAAAGTTTTCTTTTACCTCCTTATGTTAAGTCCTATTACAGTAAATATACAGGGAATTAAAGACAACTGTGCAACATTTGAGGTAATTAACATGCAATCATGTTTTGTGCATCCACATTGTTTGCAGTAAACATTTCTTTTTGCACACATCAGTGAGGGCATGAATGACAATGAACCAAAACTAGAAAGTGTCTGCCATTAGCTGTATTCTGATGTTGTAATGTTTAGGAATGACTCTCAGTCTCTCAGAGGCTGATATAGAAAGTGAATTAGGCCCAATCTATGACAGTGGTAGTGACAGAATTGTAAGTGACTATAGATAAATAAACATCTTTATTAAACTAGTTTTGTGTCACCCATGAACAATAACAAAAGCAACACGTTCAGACAGCTCACAGGGGACAGCATATGACCACAACAATAGCAACACCAATACACAAACTAACAATATATTATTCCAAATGTCGAGCCATACATTTAAAAATTATATTAATAATAATCAATAATTCACATTAAAATGCATAAAAGAAGACTTTGTAAAACATTTAAAACAGAACATTAACATTTTTACTCCAGTTCAGTTCCATATCAATATGAACCCCCAGATATGTGTATGATGAAACAATTTCAACCAGATTTTTGATGGGAATTGGTGATGGTCCCCGTCTTTCCTTTCTCCAAAATCAATAACTAGCTCCTTCGTCTAACTAATATTGAGGACATCTGGCTATCCCTACATTGAGCTGTGCAATGGGCGAATAAAAAGGTGATAAAACATCATTTTCACAAGTGATGCTGCTTGGCCTATGAACTCCCTGATTGCTGTATTGCTTGGGGATATGTTTTGTAAATAAAGTGTTTCTTAAATGTGTTTGCCAGCTTTGACTGCAGCTGAGTTGGCCAGAGGGTAATTTTCATTTTCCATTTTCATTTTTACAGACTTGTTCTGTGAGAGGCCTTGTTTGAAGCTTATATCTTCTGAGCCCTCTTATTTCATTATAATGAGCAGCAACAGCCCATCACTGCTGTTCTCATCTTGTTGGTACATCCTTATCTCTACTCTTATTTTGTCATTTTACAAACCAACTCTGAACTACCCCTTCATCATATCTCATGGCAGATGGGTGTGTTGCAAATGCAGACAGGTGTTTCACAGTTTATGTCAGTTACTGATGATGAACACAGGCAAGACTTATACCCTATCAATTTAGCGTTAACAAGCTAACTCCAGATTCTAGTTTTCTTCTATTTTTTCTTTTAGTGGTGTACAGAAACCAGATTATCATTGCACATAGGTGTAATTTATGCTGGGGATGCTGGGGATATGTCCCCACCACTTTTGAAATGGCTTATTTTGTCCCCACCACTTTTTGGAAGCACTTGCTAAAAGTTTTCTGAAAATTACCTTGCAACAAGAAATGTTAAATAACAAAAAAATTCTATGAGAAAGGTTTACTTGCACAATAGGAAAATATAAAAACAAATCTGCCTTGTCCAAAACAAATCAATCTATTGATTAATGCATTATATTTGTGTAGCCCGTGGAATTAGATGCCACACAGGACACAATTACTTCAGGGGTTCCTGTAGCTCCAGGTTTATTCCTGACCACATGTACAGTTCAATTTACAGAGTGGTATGCTACTGGGTCGTTCCCGTAACAGCTCAAATGCTGGATTTTGTAACAGTCTCTAACACCCAAATGTTGGAATGAATGAAGAGGCAAAATAAAAATAAAATGCAGAGAAATAAAATAAAAAAAAAACACAATACAAAATACGGCAGTGGGCTATGACCATCGACAGAAAACATAAAATAAATCATGTTAACAACCATAAACCCACTTATATCAGCATCAGTGTATAAAATGTACAACTGTAAATGACACTTACACTTCACCAAGTTTCACCAAACCCACGTGGAACTTCCCGGAGATCGCACAACTCAACGTACTTTCAACGTCAATTACCTTCAAACAGAGTTACACTTTATGTAAAACCTGCAACAGTTTCCGAGTACCAAAATACAATATCAGGGTCTGACTAAATGCATGTTAGCATTACCATGAAATTTAGTACACAATGGTCGACGATTGGCGCCCAAAATCCCAGCATACAATTCCAGTAGTGCCTAAATCAAACTGTCTAGTTAAAATATTGACAGGTGATTACATTTTATACACTTGTACATGAATATTTTACAAGACATGCATGCATTTACCTACTATTCTACACAACGAAGTCTCCGCACCAATCCCTTGTACGTCCATCGCACATTAACAGGAAGAAAGACCATGATGCACTTGGCGGAACAACAACAATACTACTCAATGCTGCCGCCTTGTGACCAAAGTCTGCCATCACGTGTACGACTGTGGAAATCCACTTACAATCTACTTCACACTTACTTTACATTGAACAATGTTACTCTCAAACAAAACAACAAAGAACACATGTATTCACATTTACACAACTTTTAGAACTATATTAATATAAAGGGGGAAAATCACCTATGACTAGATTTACCACCCGGCTACATACTCCCCTGCAATATAGTCAACGTCCTCGGTGACTACAAACCATGAGCAGACTCAAATGCTCCCTGCAACGCCTTCTCAAAGAGAGCAGCACCCAGGCTTGTCAAAACCTGGGAAACCATGTCTGTGCTGACGGAGACAGCATTACAGGCTGACTTTGGCAAGTGAAATGGGTTTGAATGAGACCCAGCCGTTGCCCGTTTGCTTTTTCTTATGGCAGGTTTAGGTGCAGAGGCTTTATTTCCTGTCCCATCAGCTGTGTATGTTAGTGCATGCCTGTTTCTGTTTCTTGTCATGGGCAAGTCGGTGTCACTAACATCTGGATGCACATCACTATTTACACATTCAGCCTCTGTGTCACAATTTCTCATATCTGCACAATGTTCATCAGGTTCTTCGCTATCAATCTGATCTGTGGATGTCACAGATAAACCAACGCCTTCTGCCACCTGGGGCAGATTAGCGGTTTGCACAGACTGGGGAGGAAGGACTTCCTCAACGACAACAAAATCAGGTCCTGATGACTCTGGCATGTCCATAACTACAGGCTGAGGCTGCATACTGCTCTGTAGCCTAGTTTTAGTTCTGGGTTTGGGAACAGGTTTTGCACAAGGTCGCAACTCCGACCTATGGACTCTCTTACTGGGACCTCCTTCCAAAGGTTCAACAGTGTGCGTGGTACCATAAATGTCAGTAACCTTGTAGACTGTGGGACTCCATGCGTCTTGAATCTTATGTCTACCTAAAGGTCTATGGCGTAGGAAAACCAACTGACCGATGTCTACAGTTGGACAATACACCTTCTCATTTTGCAGTGCAATTCTTTCAGCGGCTTTCTGCTCTGAGTACTCTCGGGCCCTCAAATGTGCCTGCCTGAGTCTTTCCTGATGAACAGACAACCAGTCCTGCTTTCTGTCTGAGACACACTCACGCCCTAGTAGCGCATCTATGGGGAGATGCGGCTGTACCCCAAAAAGCAGATAATAGGGCGAGTACCCTGTGGAGGAATGGGGAGTGACATTATAGGCATACACTAGTTCAGGAAGATGCTCTGTCCAACGCCTTTTTTTCTCTGGTGGAAGTGTCCTCAACAAATCATGTAGTGTTCGATTGTATCTTTCACACTGAGCGTTTCCTTGTGGCCTGTAAGGAGTTGTCCGTGTCTTTTTAACCCCATAGAGTTTGCACAGCTCTGCTATAACTTCACTCTCGAAATTTCGGCCTTGGTCAGAGTGCAGCCTCTCAGGGACCCCATATTTCATGAACCACTCCCTGAGCAAAACTTTAGCTGTAGTGTCGGCTTTTTGGTCTTTGGTAGGATATGCTTGCGTGAACTTTGTAAACACATCAGTAACAACGAGGACATTTTCACGCCCGTCTGAGGCTGGCTCCAACACTGTAAAATCAACAGCTACCACTTCCAGTGGCCGAGAAGCCAGGAATGCTTGAACTGGAGCTTGGATTTTTGGTTGAGGCATCTTGGTCAAGATGCAGCGCTCACAGTTTTTAACCCAGTTTTCAACATCCTCACATAACCCTACCCAAAAACACCTCCCTCTTAGCAGGCTTATAGTACGCTCTATTCCCTGATGTCCCATGTTATTGTGGACACTCTCTAAGACTTGGTCCTTTAAACAACCAGGTACCAGCAACTGCCATACTTCATCATGACGGGGTCTTTGATAACCCTGTACAACAACCCTTCCCTTTGCTGTATGCCGCTCCACTGTTTTAGCAGTCTTTTCACTTGGCTAGAGAGGGCTGCTCTCTCTCTGGGGCTTGGCCTCCTCCCCCGATCCCAAAATGTCTTAAACTCTTTTAGGGTGGGATCACTGGTCTGAAAACCTAATAGCTCCTCCCTGGTATAACCGGGAAGCGTGGGGGTGTTACCTTGTCCAGCCGTTATCTCGCCGGAACCAGACTCCACAGCACGGATCTGTCTCACTTTGCAACACTCAAGACCTTTAGTGACAAGACCGGCATCCAGAACAGTCCCTCGTTCAATCAGGTTACAGACAGAGATGCAATTGTCAAAGTCTGAGTCAGTGTCAGTTTCAGGCTCCCCTGCAAACTCCTGCCTAGAGAGTGCATCTGCTGCGGCATTGCTACAACCAGGACGGTACTTAACCTCAAACTCAAAAACAGACAACTGTGCTACCCACCTCTGCTCTACAGCACCTAACTTAGCTGTCTTGAGGTGGCACAGGGGATTATTGTCAGTCAGGACAACAAACTTTGAACCCAGTAAGTAACCCCTGAATTTTTCAGCAACAGCCCATTTCAAGGCAAGCAACTCCAACTTCATACTACTGTAATTTCGGTCATTCTTCTCAGCATGGCGTAGTCTGCGGCTAGCATATGCAATGACTCGTTTGGTGTCACACTGTTGCTGATACAGTACAGCGCCTAATCCATGCAGACTGGCATCTGTCTCAACTATAAAGGGCTGTGTGAAATCGGCAAATCCCAAAACTGGGGCTGAGGTAAGTTTTCCCTTTAACTGTTCAAAAGAAGAGTCACACTCGGGTGTCCACATATCACAAAACTGGTGACCTACTTTTCCTGTTTTCTTCACACCTGAGCATTTGTTGACCAGGTCGTGCAGTGGCCCGGCCACCTGTGAGAAGCCTTGAATGAACCGCCTGTAGTAGCTACAGAAACCCAAGAATGACTGTAGCTCTTTAACAGTGGTTGGGACTTTCCAGTTCTTAACAGCAGAGACCTTGGAGGGGTCAGTCCCCACACCTTCTGCTGACACCTGATGGCCCAAAAACTTCACTGATTGCTGTAGAAAAGCACACTTCTGTAACTTCACCTTAAGGCCTGTCTCTGCCAGTCTCTTGAGCACAGTCTCCAGTCTCTCAGATGCTGCTCAAATGTCTCTGAAAACACCAAGATGTCATCTAGGTAAACAAGGAGTATCTGAAAAATTAGATCACTCATTGTAACTTGCATAAGCCTCTGGAACGTAGCTGGTCCATTGCAAACACCAAAGGGCATTCTCACATACTCATATAAGCCAAACGGTGTAGTGAACGCTGTCTTGTCCCTATCTCTTTCATGCATTGCCACCTGGTGATACCCACTCGCCAGATCTATGGTTGAGAAGAACTTGGCCCCCCTCAATGCATCAAAACTCTCATCAATCCTTGGAAGGGGAAAAGCATCTCGTCTCGTCTTTGAGTTAAGTTTCCGATAATCGACACATAGCCTCAGACTACCATCCGCCTTCCTCACCAGCACTATCGGCGAAGCGTAAGCACTTGAGCTTTCTTTGATGACTCCTCTTTTCAAAAGCTTGCCAATATGCTCCCTGACTTCACTGTACTGTGTGGGGGGGATCCTTCTGTATGGCTGTGTCACAGGTACATCATCGGTAAGATGGATCTCATGTTGTACTTTATCAGTGTAACCTAGATCTTCATCTTCTGTAGCAAACACAAAAGAGTACTTCTCCAGCAACAAGGCCAGCTGTGCTTGTTGTTCTGGGCTACCACAAACATCAAGCTTGTCTAAGATGGACTGTACGTCGGTAGGCATGTCAGGGTGTCTGTCTACACTCACTTGTTCAGTATCTGCTGAGATCCTCTGGAACTGTACCTCACAAAGCTCATCACTCTTCACACTGTCCACATGCGTCAAAACTCCTAACCTAGTCCTTGGCCTTAACCAGATATCTTCATCGGACATGTTCATGACTTGGACTGGGAAAATGTGACTCTCTGTTGAAACCAAGGTAGGCACAACAACCAAACCTCCAGGCAAGGGGGCATTTACAGGCTCCAGCAGCAGTAACGGGCCATTTTCACCCACAGTCCTAAGTCCCCTAGCCATGACTGTAGCAGCAGATGCAGCGGGTACATGGACTACATCCTTACCAGCTACTCTAGCAAAAGAGAGCCTGTCTGTCACATTTGCTGTATGAAGATGATGAAAAGCTTCCCTCCAACGTGAGTCAAGTCTACCCTGCAGTGTGGTGTCAAACTCAGTGTGTATGAGCTCTCTGCATTTTTTAACAATATTCATCCCTATGAGGCCTGGCACAGAGGACGAATGTGCAGAATCCTTGACTATAAGGAAACCTCGCTCAGGGATAGTCAGACCCATGGCCTCTACGTCAAGCTCCACATAGCCCATATAAGGTATGTCTAACCCATTGGCTGCAGTGATCTTTAACCACTCAAATGCAGGATGGATGTCTTCATCTTTTACTGACAAGTGTTCCCTGAAAAAACTCTCAGAAATTGTGCTGACCTGGCTACCAGTGTCAAGTAGGCAAGATACTGTAACCCCCTGGAGTTTTACCTCAACAGTCTTGCATTCTCCAACTGCACGCTCTAAGATTTTACTTCTGTCTGGTGTCTCTTTTGATGAGCCAATTGTTTCCCCTCGAGTTGTTTGGCTCATGACAACCGAGGGTGCAAGTTTTCCTGTGCTACTGAAGAAACAGGGCCAAATTCTGGGCCCCTCTTAGCCTGCGTGCACTTCCTAGCAATGTGACCAACACCCCTACACTTGAAACAGATAGGCTGGCCATCTGGTGTGAACTTTGGCTGTGATCTGGTCCGGGGGTTAGGCTCTGGGAATGTCGGTTGAGTGCCACGTCTACTCAGTTCGCTTACAGTGCTAACTAGCTGAGCGAGTGTTTTGCCTAACTCTGCTAGCTGTTTTTCCTGAAGGGCTACTGCTCTCTGAACATCATCTAACACAGTACACCGGTCATCGTTTGTTTGGATAGCTGAACACTGGTTTGCTAAAACCTCTGACTCAACTTGGTTGCTCCTTACAACTCTGGGACGGTGGGACCTGCTGTCCTCCATTTCCCACATGAGGGCTTCGTTCCTCACGTCTAGAAGGCTGGATTCTGGTTTGTCCCTAACCACTCTTCGGAGTTCACGTCGGAGTACTGCATCCCTTAAACCTTCAATGAATTGATCCCTTAGAACAGTTTTCTCGTTAGGTATTACATTTGTGGACTGTTTTACTACTGAGCTCAAGATCTGGGACAGTGCATGTGAGTAGTCACGGAGGTCTTCCCCTTCTGCTTGTTTACGGTTGTAAAAGGTCTGCAAAAGCTGTGTAGTGCTGCGTTTTTCCCCAAATGCATTTCTCAGGTAAGAGTATAAATCACTGGGCCTCACTGACTGACCACTCATGCACAGTCTCACCTCTTCTAATGCAGGACCACGTAACAGAGATAGTATGTAGTCACACTGCTCTTCTGATGTCTGCTCTCTGGACCGTAACACTCTTTCAACCTCTTCAATAAACTCTTCCACAGATCTACCATCTGTGCCACCCCCCCCACTAAATGCTTGGATCTGGCGTTCTCTTGGGACATAGATGTATGAACGGGTGGGTGCACTGTTACCACTTGCCCTCTGAGCCCTTGCTTCATCATTTAACCTGGTAAGCTCATCTCGCAATCTGGTTAGCTCTTGCATCTGAATCTGTATCTCTTCCATAGCGTCTCTACTTGTACCCCTTGCCCCACCTGAGACAGGGTTTAACTCGCCATCATTATCGCCCACTATTGCATCATCGTCAGGTTCACTGGACATAATGAAATGTTGTCAGTCCAATGTGAATATTTAGTCCAAAATGTGTGTTAAGGATACGTGAAAACAGTCTATAACTTGGAGCCCGGCTGACTCTTGCTTTTCGCTGGTGAAGTTCGTGCTGAACTCCTCTGTGCAGGTATGGATGAGTCGTGTTCACCATGGAATGCCTCAGCTCATATTCCGCTGGTCACCACCTTCACAGCAGGCTGGCCTCTCAGCTCCAACACCCACGGATCACACCTGAAATCTTCACCACTGCCGTATTTCTCAATAAAAACTAAAAATCAAGCCACTCTGTTGCCAAATGCAAAAAGTTTGTTCTAGCTACACCCCACTCCTGGTACCAAAATTGTGTAGCCCGTGGAATTAGATGCCACACAGGACACAATTACTTCAGGGGTTCCTGTAGCTCCAGGTTTATTCCTGACCACATGTACAGTTCAATTTACAGAGTGGTATGCTACTGGGTCGTTCCCGTAACAGCTCAAATGCTGGATTTTGTAACAGTCTCTAACACCCAAATGTTGGAATGAATGAAGAGGCAAAATAAAAATAAAATGCAGAGAAATAAAATAAAAAAAAACACAATACAAAATACGGCAGTGGGCTATGACCATCGACAGAAAACATAAAATAAATCATGTTAACAACCATAAACCCACTTATATCAGCATCAGTGTATAAAATGTACAACTGTAAATGACACTTACACTTCACCAAGTTTCACCAAACCCACGTGGAACTTCCCGGAGATCGCACAACTCAACGTACTTTCAACGTCAATTACCTTCAAACAGAGTTACACTTTATGTAAAACCTGCAACAGTTTCCGAGTACCAAAATACAATATCAGGGTCTGACTAAATGCATGTTAGCATTACCATGAAATTTAGTACACAATGGTCGACGATTGGCGCCCAAAATCCCAGCATACAATTCCAGTAGTGCCTAAATCAAACTGTCTAGTTAAAATATTGACAGGTGATTACATTTTATACACTTGTACATGAATATTTTACAAGACATGCATGCATTTACCTACTATTCTACACAACGAAGTCTCCGCACCAATCCCTTGTACGTCCATCGCACATTAACAGGAAGAAAGACCATGATGCACTTGGCGGAACAACAACAATACTACTCAATGCTGCCGCCTTGTGACCAAAGTCTGCCATCACGTGTACGACTGTGGAAATCCACTTACAATCTACTTCACACTTACTTTACATTGAACAATGTTACTCTCAAACAAAACAACAAAGAACACATGTATTCACATTTACACAACTTTTAGAACTATATTAATATAAAGGGGAAAATCACCTATGACTAGATTTACCACCCGGCTACATTTGATTAATATAATATTTTTATAGCCTTTTCTGAATTGCCACCGGCCACATAAATTTTGTTTCCCTTCATATAAATAAAGACATTTTCACCGTAAGTTGGTGCAGAAAATGTCTCTAGAATGCAAGAAATTAAGAGTTTAATGCTCAAAATATATATTTTTTATATTTCTTCTAAATTGCATTAGAGTATCTTGTTGCCTCGTTCTCGTGACTTCAATATTGTGCATTATCATGTGTTGTGGACTAAGTGTTTGGTCACACCCCTAATCTGAACCTTTTCAACACAAAGTGACGCCCTTGTGCTTGTACCTTCTGGCATGATTATTGCCGTTATTCTGAACAAAATACAAAACAGAATACTGTACAGAATATTATATTAAATTACTTAAATAAGTAGTGCTCTTAACTACACTTTCTCACACCAATTTATGATGCTAATTTAATTATTGAAAATGAGATCAGTGACAGTTCTTAAGTTCCCGTTTTAGTTGTATGTTCTGTTTTTTTACTGTTTCATAAGAAGTGTATTTAATGATGGGTACAGTCATTTTGCTATTTTGGAACCTCGTTTAATTTCTAAAGCAATATCAGGTTATAAGGTGAGAATTGCAAAGATATGCATTAATCAAAACACATGAAGTGGGGAAAGAGTGTGGGAGATGGTATATTGGCACCAAACCTTGTTTCTATTTACAAAAAGAAGTCCCCATGTATTGTCATGTCTGGTACCTACAGTGCACAGTGTATTATCTTAATTTCAAAGCGGCTCATCTGGGGGAAAAAACAGAGAGATTCTAATTTTCTTCTATTAAACCAGATTATCCTTGCACCTACTGGCATTTTTGATTATTCTGAACAAAATATCAAAGATAATGCTGAACGGAATGTTAAATTAAATTAATTAGATAATTAGAATTCTAAACTACACTTTCTCACACCAATTTATGATGCTAATTTCATGAAGAAAATTAGATTAGTGATAGTTCATACATTCACGTGTTACCTGTATATTATTATGTTGTTTTACTGTTTCATTTGCACATATATAAAAAAGTGTATTCAACGATGGGTACAGTCATTTTGCTATTTTGGAACCTCATTTAATTTCTAAAGCAATATCCCAGGTGGGAATTGCAAAGATATGCATTAATCAAAACACATGAAGTAGGGAAAGGGTGTTTGAGATGGTATATTGGCACCAAACCTTGTTTCTATTTGCAAAAAGAAGTCCCCATGTAATGTCACGTCTGGCACCTACAGTACGCAGTGTATTATCTTAATTGCAAAGCAGCTCATCTTAGGAAAAAAACAGAGGGATGGTGCATGAAATGAAATGAACTGGTTCAAATGGGAAAACACATATTTATTTATGTCTTAAATCTGAGATTACAACAAGGAGTGTTGATTAAGCATGTAATCCAAATATTACAGTACATTTGTTTTCTTTTCTTCCAAACAGAAGTGACTGCCATTGCTTTAAAATGTGCTGTAGTATTTAAATGACTCTCTCTATAATTCAAAATAGCTCACCATACATTATATGCCTTCCCTTTTCATATGTCTATTCTGAATTTCTTTTAACATCCACCAAGAAAGAATGTTGCTAAGCACCAATGCAGGGGATCTATAATGTCTACTTTACACTTTATATGGAGCATCTTCCTATCTAAAACCCAGCCTGACTATACTCTGTGTTACAAGACTATTACGGTGCACGGATCCCATGTCACAGAATGTCTGTTATTCTCTACCTCCAGGGGACCTTGAGATGCACAGTGCACGTAATGGAAATTCATGACTCACACATTCAGTTTGTTTGAGGCAAAATTCAAAAATGACTACTTAATTCAACCGATGAGGTAAAAAAAAATAGACTTAAATAGACATATTTTGTTCAGAACACACCTTGATGCCTTTGTGGTTGGATAGAGATTTCCTCACTATGGAATGACCATGATTGCATGCCATATCTGTCATGCCAAATCCATGTCTGCAAGGGTAAATGCCCACTCGTTCCCCTCACGCAGCATAGTGGGAAGAGTACACACATACATATTAATCACTCTGGTTCTGACAGACTTCTTGCACTCGCTGAGGATTGATCGGCAGCTCCTGCACTGGGACATGTTGCTCCCTTTAGAGGATGATGGAAAGAGTGTGAGTACAGTATGTGTGTGGGGGTGTTTATGTGTGATGTGAGAGAGAAGGAGAGATTAGAAAGAAGACAGTGGTTGATAGCTTAGAGTGACTTAGTGAAGAAAGGGCAAATGTGATGTCAGAGGTATAATTTTAGATATACATGATACATACAGTATCTTTTTCCTTAATAAATTGCAAATAACCATATTAGTGTGCACGATGGAGTGGAAGGCAAGTGAACTAAGAAAAAAACATGTATACCATCACTGGATATTTGCCAAATACAATTAATTCTGGCATTGTTCCAGACGCTAATAGAAGAGAGACCTTTATTTATCAAATGTGCAACCAAATATATATTTATATATATGTATTGAGACCTCCCTTGAAAATTGGATTCTAATCTCCCTGGGGTTTTATTCCTGCCAAGCAACCGCAGATGTAAATTAGCTATATAGCTAACTCTGGCTCAATGGTTGTGTTGTGCATGGTCTCTTAATGGCCATGCACAATAGTAAAAAAAACAACAACTAATAAACTAAACTAAAACTAAACAATAGGACTGACCTAATTAAATAAAAGTTATATATTGACTGCAAGACATACACCATATTATGAACATTCTCCTTTCTGTGGAATAAGAAGTTGTTTTGCACAACCATTTTTCTCTCAAAACTCCTGTTTGCCTGGATCTTCTTCTGTATGGTAGTGCATAATACAATATGTTTAATAAGGCCTTTTACCTGGATTCACCTCATTAGTTTTTTTCATGTGTATCCCCAGTATTTTGTACAACATGTGTACAGTACAGTGGGTGTGCATGATAAGTAATGGATGTATGATTCCTTGTTTAAGATTGACAAGAACTCTGAGCAAGCATGCCATACAGCTGATGCTAGTTTTTCTTACCAGCTGTCTTGTTTTTGATGTGCAACAATAGAACCACTAGTGGTATTAAAGCACACAATATTGTATGACTTGAATACTGTTGACTTCTTTCAGACTTCAAAGGCAGAAAGTGACTTGTTCAGTCAGCTCTCACCCACGCTGAAGCCACCAGCTGGAATGTCCTTATTTGTCTGGGTTGATAAATTATTATCATATAATTTTATATGAGCAAAATCATGAAAAAAAACAGTTGGATGATCAGCCTCAGGTCTGTTCTATGGCTATCTTATTCGTTCATGAGACGAGTGGAATGGAGAAAACAGGCTATGTGAGCTTTTTTAATGAGAACTTTGAGATACAAAGAGACACTCAATTTTGTAGTGCAATACCAACAGACCTCGGGCAACTGAGAAAACTACACGTTTGTATGATTTTATGCCTCTTTATAACTGTTGCAGTCGGGTCATTGTGTGTTGCCTGCATGTGTGCTTGTTTGCATGCATTTGCATGCTGAGAAGCATGTGAGCATTATTTGTTTGTTTCTTTCTGCATGGAGAAGATAAATAAAATATGAGAAATAGGTGTGCTTAATTATTTCCGATAACTTTTTTTTACGAATCAGTAATTGCTCAGAATAAACTACTTTCATTCACTAACAAACTTCAATTCTAGCACTCATTTTGTTTGACATATTTCATAAATATAAGCCTACTTATTAGTGCAAGTCAAGAACTTAAATGTGGCGTCCCACTCTCACTAACAACTACATTCTTTAACAGGCTTATGCGCACACACATGTACACACACACATACAGACACATTCACCCACACGCACACAGACACACACAGACACAAACAAATTTAGGTTGTCCCTGGTAGAATTATTCCTGATGCTTTTCTTTCAGTTACTTATTTAAATTAATTATTATTCCAGCTCTCGTGGCTGTGTTGCTTATTTAGTGTGCGTGACTGTTTCTTGTTTTCATTTTTCTCTTAGCTGTCTTACTATGTCAGCTGTTTATTGCTGCTGTTTGGCTGGTTGTCTTTTACTATTATTATTATTTTTATTGTTTGTTTGTGTTTGTTTGTTGTTATCTTTCTCCTCCCCAAGCCCCCCTCTCTGTTCTATTGCAGGTTTCTTTGCTTTCTGCAATTGGTGTTTCCCACTGCTTTTCCCTGTTGTCCCCACCTTCCATCCCCCTTCTCTTACAGGTCTTGTCCTTTCTCTGTGCTGTCTGTTTGTGCCCCCCATCCCCATGTCTGCCCCCTGTCCGGCCAATACAAATCAATACATAATTAAATAAATAATAAAACAGATAGAGGAGCATATTAATACTCTCTTGTTAAAGTAAAATCTGTCTGGCACAATATGGTCTCCAGCTCATCATACTTAGGTTTAAAAAAAAAATATATAAATGTACTTAAATGACCTGTTCATTTGTGTCAGTGCAAATAAAGCTATTATTGTATCTTTTCAATAGCAATGCCTACAGAAAAGCGTTTTTTTAATCGCATAAAATAAAATAAAAAGTATGCCTCATGCCAGTGACTCGAGTCATTGAGTGCACAGCCAGCATCCTGAAAATAGTACAGCAGATAAGGCAGAGAAAGTCGTTTTAATGCTTTAGAATGCAAATGTTCTAGTTTATACCAATTAAGTTTATAATTAGTGTGAAAATGTGTTTGTGTGTGTGTGTGTGTGTGTGTGTGCATTTGATTGAGCCTTTAGGCAACAACCACTTTGGGGGCGAGAAAAGATGATGAAATTGGCAAATTCTCGCATTTCTCTTGTATTCTGATTAATTGCAATACAGAAACATCAAAAGCCACATCTTTAGAACACAAATATTATACTTGTACTTACATTTACAGAATAAAATGTCTTCTTCTTCTCTTTCTTCTTCTTCTTCTTCTTCTTCTTCTTCTTCT